TCGTCTCAGTTAAATTAGTTACCCTGCCCGTGACATCTGACATCCCTTTATAAATACGTATAAAGTTGAGTTGTGGGAGCAGTGCTTTCAGCTATACAGCTACATGAATTCAAGCAAGGAACATGGAAAACACTTGGCAGAAAAGCAGCATGCAGCATCAATAACAGGTCCCAGATAAATAATTTGTTATGGTCACAAGCCGCACCGATGTCATTAACGGCGAATCCGAAAGTCATCTCGGCCTGCAAGCCATGTTGTGGGATTTCATTTGTCAAGTACTGAAGATGTACCATGGACGGCGAAATGAAAGAGCCAGCAGTACGTTATGGGTCAAAAGCCCTTTCTAGATGATCGGAGCACCTCGCAGAATATCGTTCGCATAGCTTCCGGGTGAGCTGACAGAAATTCGTGAAAGCGCTCCCTTAGACGAGGCAACTTCATAAGGTGACAAAGAGAATTATCAGGAGGAAAATAGGTGCATTGCCGTCCAGATAGTTGTACAGGGGGGGGGGACAAAAAAAAGACACTTTGGCCGAGTCACATATCAGCAAAGTTTTCGCAGCCCAGACAGAAGACGTGGATACGAGTACCAGGGCGGAAGATACCCAAGATGTTCCTCGATAAGCAGGAGCTGGCTCTCGCCCATCACCTTCATGTACACCAAAATATGAAGTCATCTCCAGTCGCAGCCTGACTGGAGAAGGCCTTTGGAATTCATGTCACCTCCAAACAGCTGCGAAACTTCTTGTATGGAGTCACCCATGGATAGCTACCTGGAGACCAGCCTCTCTGAAGACCTCCAACATCGAGCACCTCCGACAACGTCGCCACGGTTCAGGATATCATCTTACAGTAGGGCGCGGGTTGATGGTATGGACCGGACGTACCTGGAATGGAGAGACCGATATTCTTCGTGGGCCCCGGACTGAAGGTGAGCGCTGGCGGTTACATCGAGCAACTCGAGAAGAATATCCTGCCTTCATGTCGTCGCCTGTACCATCTTGGAAACTTTGTACTGCTACAGGATTGGGTGCCACCACATGGAATCGAAGGGCGTTGGAAAAACTTTCGCCTACTTGGAATGGAAGGGCGTTGAGTACCTGAAGAAGACGGAATATCTAAGTGTGTCACCTACCTAAACCTCCTCGATTACCGGGTTCGAGCGGAGCTCAACAGGGTGGTCTACAGTGGCGGAGAAATCAACGACCTCGCTGAACTCAGGCACCGAATCACGGTCGCGTGGCAGAATCTCTCGATGGCGCTCGTCCAGAAGGCTGTGGCGGAGTATCATGATAGTGTACAATGTGCTGTTGAATATGGTGGTGGAAATGTCCAATCAGAATTTAATAAAGTGTAACTTATATCGCCTTGAAGTCGAGGAAGAAAAGGGTTTTTTTTTGTCCCCCCCCCCACCTGTAGAATAGTGCACCAGTCATCTTCAGAGGCTATGGAGTACAATCGCGATAGTCCCTGTTACCAGGAGCATTCTGTAACAATTCCACCAATAAATGGGCCCTCTTTTTCATCTTTCCTGCAAACTTTTGTGGCTTCCTTAGCAGCGAGGATCATGTACCACTAATTCTTCAGTGTGCCGCTGACGTACAGAACACAGCTTTCGTCCCCCACCCCGAGTTAAGTCAAATCCATTTTGTGACAGGTGGACTTCCTAGATGAGTTGCACTAAAAACAAGTATGATAACTGCTGGTCAACGCGCGCCCCGAAATTATCATAAGAATGCTGAGATATGTATGAACAAGTCGGACCCGGGACGGGGCTGGAACCCGCATCTCCTGCTTAACGGGAGGTTGCGTTATCCATTACACTACCGAGGCCACTCTCACTCTCTCATGGTCAGCTTAATAACATCAAACAGCAGTGGTCATACTGAAACAACGTAAAACATGAAAAGCCTTCAGCTACGCGATTCAATGCGGCTAAGCGACTCATCACGTTGAAGGTGTGAGTGCTGTAGGCTATGGCGCAAAATGCCATCGAGCTGGGAGGGTAAGAGTGGTCCCGCAATAATGGATGGCATAATGGACAACCCGTTATGCTATCGGGACCACACTATGGTTATGGGTTCGGACCCCGTCCCGGGTCCGAATTCTACCCAGATCTTAGCACTCTTATGGTCGAAACATTAAAGATAAAAGAGTGAAGTTCTCGCCATTGATCAATCCCTTTTGTGGAATGCGGCACGCATTCTACATTCATTCAGAATAGCAGTGGCTTACTGAATGCGATGTGGGCCATACAATTACTTGCGGGGACTGGCCGATGTACAGGTAAGCGTTTTATGGTCTCAGACTAATCTGGTACCTATTTGCTGTGTCCGGAAGGCAGAAGAGGCCTGGGCGGGAGTCAACCCGGGATTCGAGTGGTAGTACGCGCCACTTGCCACCACATCCCATCTCGGATCATCGAAACATTATTACAATTTAAAAAGTATCAAGTAATGAGCATCAATCAGTAGCCGCTTGAACATGTTCTCTTCTCTTTATCTCAGTTCGTATCGGGCAATCAGCCAGGACAGTAGACTAGGGCCAGATATGACCTGGAAATCGGTATGTTAAGAAGGCTGTGACACGCGCTTGAGCGATGGAGCGCTCCCTATGAAAAACCCGCAGTTGACACTACTCTAATAGCAAAACTTTTGTTGTATAACATCACGAATTTTTCCTGTGGTAGTTTGGAAAACGGCCAAGGTACGGTCGTGTTCTCTGCAAACTCTGGACGCCTAGAGGCAGTTGACACGACAAGTCCTTAAGACGATAGGATTAATACGCACGCAGGAAGATTCGGCGCCCTGAGCAGGCGCTGCGTTGCGTTTTTTTCAAGGATAGTACCCTTATAAGGCCTTAGCAAGCTGCAGCATACCGACCCGGACGTCCAGCGCCCACGAATGGACGACCGATGCTGATGCTCGTATTGCTCCATTAGCTAAGCAAGAAATGAAGCGAAGGGATTCATATGAACTGGCCGCATGGATATATAAGTACATACATACGGGCAGCCGTGTTGACCGTTACGGTTATTGGCAAAATGAAACTCGTCCAGAAAAATTTTTCAAGTCAGATCGCAGGTTTCTGACCGTTTCACTTCGTTTTTTCGCCACTTTCCCCACTATGCAGCATCCTGCTAGCATTTTGGACCGAGTACCAACTTTATATTCTCCGGTGTCATATGCCTTTAAGGGAAGTTGGTTTCTGCGAGAGCCTGACTCTACCGATTGTGGAAGCTGGCAGGCCACCGTGGTTGGTAGACAATAGGCTGAAGCGGCGACAACTCCCTCTGAAACGTCCCAGTGTCCGCCCAACAAGAATGTAGTAGTGGCAGTGAATCACAGCGCTTTTGTATGAAAAAAAAACAGGAAGAAACTGAAATGCAAGGAATTGACCTTTGCTAGGTGTTAAGCACCTCAGGACCATCAAAATTTATTATAATGCATGTCAATAATTACAAGGCAGTACAAAGTGTAGCGATATGGACAAAAACGTGAGGTAAACGAAAACTGAAGGCGACCAGAAGTTCATAAATAGCAATCACTTGAATAAATCTTAAGAGCGAAGGGCTGGAGTCACTCATACGGCTTGAAAATTGTCGTTTTCTTCGGTGGTGGGGAAGCTTCAGCTACGGTATCCGACTCTTCAGATCTGGAAAACTTGCCTTCCAATCATTTGTTCTACAGCCATCAACTCAGCAAATGGAACGGCGTGTTCGAGTGGGCGTGAATTCTAGCGCAGCCGAGGCAGCATTTTCCACCAGTGTTGCGGGTTCAAATGGCACGAGGTGGCAAAGCCGCTCTGGTCGCGCTCAACACGCCCACTCACACGCGCTCTTGTCCGGCTAAGAAAATAATTCAACTCCATCTAAGCAACGTATGGCGAAAATATGTATGTCACAAGAAAAGAAATGAGTCCGTTCAATTCACCTGCTCTTTTTGAGTACAGGTGGGCCGTCGTCGTCTTCTCGTTCTATCGAGGATCCACTACTCTCTTGTTGCGTACGTCGCCACTTCGCTCGTCTATTTGAAAACCATACCTGCGAAGACGGAAAATCATTCCAGATGCTTCGGAAATTGAAAGAGGGTTGTAAAGTAAGTTCAAAGTAAAATCGAAAGCTGAGTGAAGATTGCTCGTGAGAAGGGGACTGCACGCTGGGAAAATAGTTCAGACAAGAGAATTGAGCTCTACTGTTCGCTCAGCTATGCTAAAAAGGCAGCTGGTACCTGAATTCTCGCTTCCGGTAGTTGAGTATTCTTCACCAGTTCCATTCGTTGAGCAGTACTTGGGTACGGTTCCTTCATGAATGATGCCTCGAGTAGATCAAGTTGTTCTGTAATGGAGTACAAGAATTTGCAGATGCCTAATCATTTCCGAATTTTTTCCGTACACATGGATCATTGGTTGAAAAATCATAATATTCAAGGAGAACTTCGTAGCGGAATGCTAATATTGGCTGCTCCTATTTCACATGATTACCCAATACTGTAATCAGTTTCCCTCATGCTAACAAACTTCACTTTTCCAGGCCAAAATTTTTTAGCTCGGACATATGGAGCTGGTACACACCCAGACTTTTCCCGCTCAGCCTAATCTCATTTGAGGCAACACTTGCCGCTTTGACCTGTTCGGAGGGTACTAATATCTTTCGAGACGCTAATCCCGGTCAACTATCCCCCGATGACTGCACTATTTGCGCAGCATTAAAAAGATCCCCGCCACTCGTCCCCGGAGATGATCGTGCACGGAGTACGCTGTTTTAGGTCTCTTGGAACATCATTAAACTTCCTATCTGGGCTGTATTGCGCGTTCCCTGCGATGTTTCTTCCCCCTGCTGTTCAACGCATGCTCGTTCGGCGCATCGCTTACAACGAAAGGCTTCATTCAAGGGTCTTGTCACGGCTTCCACTACTTTTCCCTCTTATTCTTCGGTCTCAGCACCAACACATTCACGAATGATTCTCATCTCTCCTTCTACTTCCAATGATGAGATTTGGGTCAGTCTTTAAGCTCGGATGCCTTCAATAATCATTTAAAGACTTGTTCTGTAATAGAGTAAAAGATTTTGACTGGTTCTATCAAAAGAGAACATGTAATAAAACGAGAGAGGTTGAGGGTAACATCAACACACTGGGTGTTGGTAGTGGGCTTCATATAAAAGGATGTGGGAGCTACGTTGCCCACCAGTGGTGAAAAAGGAATCTCTGGAAGAACTAAGCTAGAGAACTAATCGAGAATCTCATTGTGTCGCTCGATTTTGAGCGTTGTATAGGTCTAGAAGTGCATTGTGCATTCCTACTTCGCTAACCGATTCGATTCGCAGAGTATGAAGGAGCTCAACGATCAACGATGCTGATGTCCGGCCTCGGACTAAGAAAAAAGAGACACGGAAGACATAATGAGCTAGAGACGCCATGGATGCACCAGTTAGCACTGTTTTCGGACGGAGTTTACGAATGTGCGTTGCAGGTGGACCCAGAGACCATGCCTTCAACACACGATATCTGCGCGTCCCCCACACTTGTCGATCAGTCTGGTTGTTAGGTAGACGATTGTTTCAGTCAGATATTTGTAGAATATGCATTCAATGATTTGCTTGAGCAGTCACTGCATACCTTGTGAAAAGCTGCTTCGTCCACATCTTCTGGAGGACGCGTCTTCTTCACTCATCGCTACAGTTTCAGCTGGGGAGGTTGGTGCTATGGAAGAATACGCGGTGAGTAGTGGTGGAGGCATGGACGGGAAGCTCGGGTTCATCACAAAACCTACAGAAATACTTTACATTTTTTCGCACATATTAAGAAAAATCATTGAAAGTGAAACTTGATGAACTATTCAACAAACCTGGCCAGAGCGCTTGCTGAAATGCGAACGGAAACGTGTGAGGAGGAAGACCGAGGGAGGGGATGCGAGGGTTCATCCGCTGCTGGCTGAAGTGTTTTCATGACTACATCATTCTTAAGTACAGGAGAAAGGTACAACTTGCCTCGTCAGATGCTGAACATTCAGAATCATCGTGAGCTCCTCAGCTGCTCGTTCAGCTGCTCTCGTTCTGAGAATCCGATTTATTGATGAAACCGACGGCGGCGTTGAACAAACTGCTGAAAGAAATCAAAACTACTGAAAGTTGATATTGTCGGAATCAGTCGGGGCATGAAATGAGCCCTTTTACAGCGTCTTCCACCACGAGTTGTTTTCTTCCTGAATGGGTCACTACTTTCGTTTTCTGTGGGAAAATCAGCCTTGGCGGGCTCATTTGACTTCTCTCGGCCAACACGCCGATTCGTTGCATCTAAATCCACCAGAATGATTGTCGACACTCGCTCAAAGCGCTCTTCAGTGAGAAAGAATCCAAAGCCGACATTTTAATTGAATATTATCTCATCCTATCTTCAGGTATTTCGAGGGTATTTCGAATGCTATATGGCACAACTTCTTGGATCCCCCTAACAGAATAGTGTAAGCTAATGGCGCAGCTTATGGCACGGCCAGTACATAAGGTGGTTCAGCTAAGCCTAAAAGAATTGAGGGAAGTTTCACTGATATCAAGCCGGCTATGGGTTTAATAAAGCTTTGGCGGTGCATTCAACGAGATATCCTTGTGCAATCAATGTGAACTAGACGTCATTCGAGATAAATTATCAGTAAAGCTTGTCGCCTGCGATGCTCGACCGTGTTCACCAGGGCTTGCTATGGCGCCGGACGTGGAGCCAATTCGATGTATAAGGTAGCAGGTAGCGATAAACAACCCTGGTGGACAATTAGCTGGCCATGCGTCAACCTACGCCCCGATGAATAACCACGATTTCCATTAACGAGGACCTGTAATTCAAATTGGATTGCACACTCTGAAGTTCTTTTCTCTTCAGACTCTCATCTCCATTACGACCATTCCAACTTTGCACAGATAGTCCTTGGAATTTCTCAAGAATGCTGAGCAACGGTTAGAAGACAGATCTCAGGCGATACTCGAACGAGATCTCAGGCGGGACTCGAACGCGCCTTTCTCGCTGACCGGGCTATTGAGCTACCCATTACGCCATTGTGATAACTTCCGAAGCGCGAGCTGCAGCATTAAACAGCACTATCATGCAAACACGAAACTCCGATATGTTTTTTACGGCTACTGGCGCCTCAGCTAGATTGAGAAAGTCTCTATGATATGTAGTTACATAGACCTTTTTATAACCTGGTTGTCTATCAAGAAGGGAGCACTATGGGGGACACTTCCCTGAGAACTGTGATGCTATCAGAGCTCCACAATTTTTGACGACTTTTCAAGACAGTATAATTTTCACCAACTGAGCTTCGATCCAGCTTCTCCTTGCGCTCGCCCTCGAGGATCTGCGGTCAAAAGCGCGCCGCCGACGCCTCAGTCTCACCTATCCGATACTTCTGGTGCTATATGAGTGTCGTGTGGGCAAACAAGGCGAGCATCGGTCGCTCTCAAACACATATACCTTCGACAAGGTGTGCGGCAATTCAAAGTGGAAATGGATACGGTACTCGACCGAGTCCGCGACAACGAGTCAAGTGTGCGAGTCACACCCGGACGCTCTCTAACTAATGCACAAACACTACCGTAACCCCTGCTGTGAGAAGTAAAGACAAAGCGAACAATTGAAACAATGTAAAGCTGTCGATAGCTATTTGAGCTGCTCGCAAGGGCGCCACGCCAGCAGGAGCAGACAAGCCGAACAGCCGTCTTCAGCCGTTCCGTGGAATAACAAAGGAGCTGTACCGTACCCTCATTAATGAGTCGCTCGCGGATCTCCCAGGCGAATATCGTCGGATTGTCACGTTTATACTGCTCGATCTTGGCGACGACTTGTGGAGTGGCTACCTGGAACGATTCGATGACTGGTTGGATGACTAATTATAAAATGACCTATGCTCAACAACATTCATATGTAGGTATTTAGGAAACAGGGCTTACATCTAGAATCTGGTTTTGTTTTCGCGGAAGAAAGGTCATGCATTTCTCTTCAGATTCAAGTTCAAATTTGAAACTTGTATGCATTACTGTGGAAAGACCATAATGTGTCCACCTGTCTGTAGCTATACAGACGCCTTTTCGCTTGTTCTGATGCAACACTGCCTCAAATTTTCCCTAATCATCTCGCAGTTAAATTGACATCGCTAACTCAACGAGGTCTGATAGTACATACATAGGGGTCTGCCTGTTGTCACTGAGATGATCCTAACCGCGGTTGAAGCTCATTAGACGCTCAGTTTCCGAAAGCGAGTGAGAATCAACTCAGTTGCG